GTTGTCAACCACACACAGATGCTGCTATTTTATTAATATGTAACCGATTTATCATTTATCCCTTTCTGTTTGCAGAATCATATGTTTTTTGAGATGAGCTAAGTGGAAATGCTATAAAGCTTCAAGGACATAAAAGACATCTGCTTCACCTGCTAACATCAGGTCTGAAGTGAAGTGTGAACCTAACAATATAGAATTATGGTGACTCATAATAAGATGTTTCTATGACAACTGCAGGGAATGTAGATGGCTGATGCTTTTCTGAGCTAATTGCATCTGAACATGTGTACATCAGGAATCTCTGTACAGAGCCTCTCTACACCTCTGGACATTTGCTCACTAAAACTGAACATATTTGATAGACAAATTTCTAAGGCCAACATGATAAAAAAAAAAATAATAATATTTTACACAATCTACTACATGCCTTCTAGTTCATAAAATTTTAGCAAGTAAAAGGCCTTTTAGTATCATTCTAAAAATATACACCTTTATGGTGCCCTAATTTTAGATTTACTGATTTTATTAAGTAAACATAAAAATAACTTTGATGCTGTTAGTAATATTTCAAGATGAACACTTACTGGACTAAAGCAACTTAGGTTCACTTGATTATCCATACATACAAGTTTTTTTTTAATCATGTTAAAATGTATCAAATATGATACAACAAACTTTTGAGTAACATTCATTTGTGCATCTCTCAATCATCATTGTATTGTATTGCATTAAATGTTTTGCCCCACAATAAAAACTAAAGCTTTGGTCATAAAAAAAAGCAATTAAATATCATTTCACTAAGAATTTATTGTTATTATCTGATATTTATGCTTTTTATGCAAGTAGTGTTATACTGTTAAAAATATTTTATTGATTTACATTACAAACTATCAGAATTGTTTCTTACTTTTTGGCCATAAAAAAAATATAAGAAACTGAAGCAAAGTGCATATTTTTTCTCAGTTTGGGCCTCAAGTATCAAGTATGAACTCTGTATCATACATACTATATGGATCATTAAAGCCTTATGTATCAAATATGATACTCAACAAAAAGACATAAGCAAACTTGTTAAAACATATATTTGTTCTAAAGTCTCATTAGTGTGTTCCATTAATCAATTTCTTAATATTACTTTATGTAAGTCTTTACAGGGTTAAATGTTCAATGCACTCTTGTGTAATATAAAAAATGCATACAAATATGGATGTTTTTCTGCATGTAATAAAGATTGAGGAAAATTTGTTTGTTCATAATTTAGCCCAGATTCTATTCCCAGTTAGAACAATGCAAGAACTGTCCATTTTTCGAAGCCAAAATCATACCTACATGTGAAGTTCAGATAGCATTAACAGGGCTGTACATGTAATTACCATTCTTTAAATGACACAAGACTGAAATACTACCAAAACCAGATTCACACCACAGCTGAAAATTAGCAGCAGCTGCATAATCAACATTTATTGCTATGATCAATCATAATTAAAAACCTTTCCTTTTCCCACTTTTTTATGTACCTCGAATACAGCTGTCCAGCACTGAATTTCAGGCAGTATAAAGTAGGTGTTGATACACAGCCCCATTAACAGATCAGTGTTTGTTAGTTATTTGAGTGATTTCTAAAACAGGGCTTGGAGTCCTATGAGTCGCGTCTCCAGAGTG